GCTGACTGTGGGCATTTCTTCCCACCTCTGTGGCTCACAGACTTCATGTTGGCAGCTTGAAATCAGCCAAGGTGGGAGGTATTTTTATCACACATACTAGTTGCCCCATGCATGAATTCATGCGCATTGAAAGGAAATTAATTAGAAGAAATATTTTAATATCACTATTCGCCCTTTCTCTATAATAGAAGTGTCAACCAAATTCACGATCGACAATCACAGATGGAAACACATGCATGCGATTGGCACCAGCAAGAGCTTTATATGTATTGTGCATGCGCGAGTCAACTTAGCCTTTTATGGATATAAAATAAACTTGCTTAGTTAGACCTGCTTTCTGGTTTAGCTAAACTTTTTCCAGCCCAGTGAAGCACCCCAACTTCTTTTTCAGGTAATTGTCAGCAGCACAACAGTAAATATCAACACGAAGCAGATTATTATTGTAGATCATACAGGGAGAACAAAGGGTAAAATATTTAACTGTAGCAGTGTTTGACTATATTCTGCACAGTGGGAAAACTTGAAGTCATTTTTAAGATCCACCATTTCTTACTTCTTTTCAGTCGGGTCATGTTTCTAAGCTTTCTAAATCTCCATTTTCTGGCTAATGAAAAGAAAATAGGATTCCACTGAGTCTCCTCTCTACCTACTCCAGGACTTCTGTGAGGATCAAATGAGATGAGGCACAGGAAACATTTGGTTAAGTTGTAAAATGTTTGCACCTGGCTATAAAGCAAGTCGTGTTCCTGGGCTGAAGAAACTCCAAGGAGGCTAGTCACAGGAAGAGGAAGCCAGGCGTTGCTACATGATGTCATTACCCAGATGGACACTTAGCATATTAGTCTTTTATATATATATATAGATGGGCAAATGCTTCAAATTGGGACTCCTCCCACCCCCAAGAACCCAGTGCTGAACACTTATCAGCATTTACCACATCGCTAGGCTGTCATATCCATGTGCCTGATGAGGGAACACTGTTGAACAGGATGTTGTTAAATTTGCACAGTGAGTTGTTTGTGGCTGCTGCTGCTTACTCAACACACACAGTAGGATCATGTATCTGAACACTGGCCTTCACCAGAGGGAATTTGAAAAACACTGCCTTAGATCTCCTTCAGCTTGTTTCTGAGGTCCAAGCATTCCAACAGAGGTCTTTATGATAGCCACATGGCATAGCCCACTGGTTTAGAAACCTGCTCCTCCCGGTGTCAAGCCTTCTAAGACAGTTAGGATCAAGGATAGCATGGGTGGCAGGTCCGGCCAGGGCAGAGAAGTGATATGTGAAATAGCTGAAGGTATGTGCATTTGTCACTGGGGCTGCCATAAAAAAAATACCACAGACTGGGAGGCTTAAACTACAGAAATTTATTCTCTCACTAGTTCTGGATGCTAGAAGTCTAAAATCAGGGTGTTGGCAAGTGTGGTTTCTCCAGAGACCTCACTGCTAAGCTTGTAGGTGGCTGTCTTCTCACCATGTCCTGACATGGTCTTTCCTCTGTGATTGAGCACCTCTGGTGTCTCTTCCTCTTTTTATAAGGACATATGATTAGGGCCCACCCTTATAACCATGTGTAACCTGAATGACCTCTTTTAAGGGCCTATCTCCAAATACGGGCACATTGGGGCTTAGTGCTTCAGCACATGAATTTTAGGGGGCACAGTTCAGTCTATAGCAGGGTGTCACTGTCTGGGCTCATGCTACATTTCAGTCAGCGGCTGATGCAGACCTCTCACCTACTCCAGGGATTCCTTATCAACTCTCCGGGATGCCCCTTCCACTCCTCAGCCATCTCCAACCTCACCATGTGCTACCCTCTGTCAGTTACCACCTGAGTCCTAGCTCTCCCATCCAGTTTCCCTGACTTCTCCTGCTTGGAGAGCAGTCTCCCTCACCTGACTCACCTGACTCACCCTAGCACCTTTGCTCTCTATTGTTAAGTTGGTGATGAATCTCATCTGGCTTTGCAGTGCCTTTTTGATGTCTCCTAAATGTATACAGTGTATGTATTTAGGGCTTGGCTACCTTGTTAGATTGTAGGTACTGTGAAAAATGGACATTCTATCCTTCTCGACAATCAACTCTCCCATTTAGTGATTAAGTAGGTGTGTGCCTTTTATAGATTAAGGAATCAATAAATATCAGAGTTAATTTTTTCTTTTCTTGAAACGGTTAAGGTCATTATATGCTCATAAGTTTGTGTGAAGTCAGACTAATAGCAGTCAGTATATAAGGAGATGTTGTTTTCCTGTACTGTGAATGTTAAGCTAAAATTGTCCAGTGAGTGCTTCTGGACTGGGATTTGTGGATGCCATTGTTCCAGTGAGTTATAATGACCTTTAACCCTGACTCTAGTATAAAAGAGACCTGGATTAGACTTCTGATTTCCCCAGTTACCACCTGTCTGGCCTTGGGTAAGTGATCTAAACTCCCTAAGGCTCAGTTTCTTCATCTGTGAAATGGGAGTAATAATAGTACTTTATTTCACAGGGAGTAAAGTAGAAATACATAGTAGCACTCAATGAATAGTAGATGTGTATCATTAATATTGCTCTGGTACACAGAGACTTTAAAAAAAATTAGAAACCTTAACCCTGGATAGCAGTCTCCACTCCTCTGAACCAAGAGTAACTCAGAAAGAGAAATGCTGCACACCATCGGAGAATCAGCCATGCAACAAGTCCATTTAGTGCCCTGTGCCAGATGTTTCCAGATTGAGAATATAGTGAAGAATCCAGGAGGAACACTTTTCTATCTATGATGAGTTGACTTGTAAATAACCTTTGACCTCACGTTGTCACCAACCCCCTCCCCAAGTTGCACTCCCCTTTGAAAAGCATAAAATATTTTTACCTACAAAACACTGTATATTGATTTTGTTATTTTAGAGCCGGTCAGATTGCACAGGAAGTACATGGTCATTAACTGGAGATAAGCCAGCATGACATTTGTCCTGAAGTTAATGATAAAATGACATTAAATCACTGGCAGTGTTTTCTTAGAGGTGTTCAAGACAAACAATGTTAGTGAAATGAGAGGAAAACTCTGTAGGAACAACTCTCCCCCCCATAGTGCTACAGGGAGAGCCAGGGGGATGGTGAGCCAGGAAACAGTGCAAACCTGTGCTTCTCCAGGGCCTCCAAAAAGGCACAAAGTGGCTTGTCAGCTTTTCTGCCTGTTGTAGCAAATTAGACATACGTCCCAAAAGGTGTACTGCAATATTAAAGTCCATTTATATAGGCTGTAAAGTTTCCCCTGTTGTCCTGGCAGGCACATGCGTGGCTGGAAAGTGTCTATGGGTTGATTCCTTTGTGAATCAGATGGAGCTGACACTGCTGAAACCACAGTGACCCAGACGAGGATAGAAGCTTGTGCTGGATGAGGGGCCACGGTCCTGGACATGTAAATCAGTAATATTAATCCCCACAGAGTGCCATGGTGCAAAATTATTAAGGCTGCTTCCCGAAGATACTTCTAACACAGTGCGTAATGAAAACGTCAGGGGCAGTGAGTTATTAGGTGCTGCCCTGCTGTTCTGAAGTGCCAGATATTTCTCCACCTGTTATCCAAGCAGGCGAGTCTTGAGGGAAAGGGAGAGCATCAGAGATTGCTTGTGATGAGAGGATCATAAAGTGAATGACATCAGTGAGGCCTGTGGGAAGTGCCTAAAAAAATGGTGGCGACGGTGTGGTAGGGATGATGTTAAGAGGTGAGCCACGGTGAAGGTGTGTAGGAGGAGGATGCTGCCTGGTGTACAGTGCTGAGTAATGTCATGGCCTGAATCATTTGGATTTGAAAATTGTTCTCAGAGCAGCTCTTCGGATTAAGAATTCAGATGGGATCACTGCAGACGAGTATGGTTTTGGTTATTTCCATAGTCATTCTAGAAATTCAGGCATCATGTTTGGCATTTATTTTACATTTATTATTTATTTTAGATCCTCTCTGACTTGTATGATCGCTATCTCAAGCCACTTGTTGGAATCCTTTTGGCTTCTTCTCTTCCCTTGGCCATGTCCAGTCATTGTCAGATGGCTTTGGACAAGTTAATCTTTCTTAGTCTCTGATTCCTTTGATTATACCTTTGTCATGTCCCTCATATTCTGTCCTGTTTTCTCTTTGCTACTCTCCTTGTCTACATTCTGTCTGGTCCAGCCCCTCCACCTCTTACCTGGACCTCTTGCTTTTCTTCCTCCCACCTCTTCCCCTTTGACTATCCTACCAGAGCACTGCAGCAGTAACAGCTTCCACCATCTTAATAGGTACTCTTCCTGTGCTAATCCTGGGGTGGGTGTGTCACGTATGTTTTTCTAATGGTGCAATAACTCTGGAAAATATATTATTACTTCCATTGTATAGCTTGGGAGATTCCAAAAAGGTTATACTGTGTTTATACCAGCTAATTAGAGAAAAGTTGGAATTATAACCTGGAGCTGATGGACATCATAGTTCATGCTCTTCCCTACTCAACCTGTTTTCTCTGCCAGGAAACCTTCAGTGGTTCCCCTTGCCTAAAAGATCAAGTCCATGCTCTTTTATCTTGACATTCAAGGCCTTCTAAAATCTAGTTTTCGTGTTTCTAGTCGTTCCTCTCAACTGTCACACATCAGTTAGCCAAAAACAAACCAAACCAAAAACAAGAAACCCAGCCAAACAAACAAACAAACAAAAACTGATTTTAATTCACACCCATGCTTTCTCTTCTCTGTGCTTTTATACCTCCTTTTTCTCTTGCCTGGAGCAGAGACTGTCACTCCTCTGTATAAGTAAATGTTGTCCAAGATCCATTTATTCTCTGGTTCACAAAGGGTATATTAGATCTTTATTAAATAGTCTAAAATATCTGTTCAATAATGTTCTCATTTAATATCTTTTTAAAAGACATTTAAAGTGAATCAGAAAGCAATTAAATGATTAATTGCTGCAGCTGGATTCTGCTGCCCTCAGCCTCTGCGGATGCTATCTGACCGATTAACCTCTGTTTCAGGGCCCTGTCTTATTGAGGAAGGCAGTGACGGAAAACGCCTGGCCTATCACATGACTGATCTCCGCTGTCATGAGCCATCGTTCTCTAACTGCAAGCTTTCATTTTCAAAGTCCTGGCATGATTTCAGGAGCTGTAAACCTTCATGTGAGTAAGTGAGCAGTAAGAACTGGCAGTTTTTCAAACCCAAGTCTTTTCAGCTTTAAACCCACATTTAGCTATGATGGGTTTTTTCCCACCTTAGTTTGGACATTCTTTCTGGTGAATACTTTTTTGATAAATAAAATAGGGTAGGGGTGTATTTGACCAGGACAAATATGGGCTGGTACAGTCATAACAGCCCCAACATTAATTCCAAAGTCAGAGCAGGAGGTAAGAGAGGAGTGGGTGTGTAGATAGGGTTCCCAGCCTCTCCAACTACAACCATGGACTCAGGGTGGAGGAACTTGAAAGTAATGAATCCACGGGTGATGCTGACCCACGTGCCAGTGTAGACAGATGTTACTATTGATGTCTTGGGAAAGGTCAAGGAGTGCCTACTCCTAAATGAATGGAACAGCTTTGTGAGATATCAGGGAAACATATATCCTTGGAAAGGTTTCTTTTCTAGTAACAGTGCTTAAGTAATTGGGGTTCGATTTAATGCAGAATTAATTGTTCTTAGTGCATTCTTAGCCAGACATTGTGATTAATATTATTTGCATTAATGTTTAAGGGATGGGGAATCTGAAAATAAAAATGTGAATATAAAATGAAAAACGTAAAGATTAGTTCTTGCTTGATAGTTTGTTTTTTGAAATTTGTATATCAAATGTTTTATTGCACCCTTATCGTTTTGTTTCTTAGATTTCATAACAAATTGGTGAGAGGAGAGGGAGAGACTAGGTACAACACGGAGTGTTACAGCCACCATTGTCATGGAAGCAGGTTGTATTGCTTCCTGCTGTACACACTGAGGTTTTGATCATGCATCTATTTTTGTTGTTGTCGTCTTCTCCTTTATCTTTATATCTAGCAAATGTCTTTATGGTGCTATCTTAGGAAATTGGATTTAAGGCATCCTATACTAGCTTATGGAGGTCATTTGAAAGGCAGCTGCAGACACCTGAAATAACAGCTTACATTTGTGGGGCTCTCAATCTACCAAGATAATGTTATGTCATTTAATCTTCTCAACAACTGGATGAGATAGGTACTATTATCCCTATTTTATGAATGAGGAAGCTGAGGCCCAGGAGATTAAATAATTCATCTTTAATCACATAGCTAGGAAGTGGTGAGGCTATAAGTTAAAACCAGGCAGTCTGAATCCAGAATAAAATAATAAAATGCGTATAACCAGAATCAAACTAATTTTGTTCTTTTTAGATTTTATAAATTTACCATCACCACTAGTGAATTCTGAGTGGCAATTAGTATGGAATGTGTAAATAAAATAATAAAATGCGTATAACCAGAATCAAACTAATGTTGTTCTTTTTAGATTTTATAAACTTACCATCACCACTAGTGAATTGGCAATTAGTATGGAATGTGTAAGGATAGGAGAGGGATTGTTTTGAGTAGAGAAATGGTGGAAGAGAGTGAAAAATGAAGGAAGATGCTGCTGAAAGTGCTGTAGCAGGTCCCGAGAAGGGAGTCTAGGAGGGCAGATGTGGCACTTCCCTCTGTTCTGTGCTCACCTGAACCTCAGCCTGTGCTGGCGGACAGTCAGTTAGAGTGTGGCTGGTGACTCTTTTTTTTTTTTTTCAATTGAAGTTTACATTCAATATTGTTTTTTTGTATTAGTTTCAGGTGTACAGTATAGTGGTTAGATAATCATATACTTCATAAATTGATCCCCCTGGTAAGTTTAGTACCCACCTGGCACCATACACAGTTATTACAATATTATCTACTATATCCCCAGTGTTGTAATTTAGATCCCTGTGACTAGTTTGTAACCACCAATTTGTAGTTCTTAATACCTTCACCTCTTTTCACCCAATCTCCCTCCCCGCCC